GAGCCTGTTGTTGTCATATAGGGAGGCTTTCAAGCTAGGAATACACTTTCTTTAATAGGTGCTATTCAAATTTTATATTTGCTCCAGAGTTAGCTTGATTAATTTGTCTTCCAAGGTACTTCTTAGAAGTTGTCAAATTTATTTCAAAACAGATTTTTGTAATATTCTTTCTATATCCTTTTAAATTCTGTAAAATCTGTGGTAATGTCTCCTAGATCTTGATATTGTAATTTTAAAAATGTAATTGATATTGTGTAATAGGAAGTAAAGGTCTAAAGGAGCAGGCGAAGTGGGAGGGGTAGGGGAAAGGAAAGAAGGGAAAAGAAAAAATATGAGAAAAGGAGACAAATGGAAACAAAATCTTTGCAAATAGGGAAAGGTGGAGGGGGTGGAGGGAGGGCATGGGAAGGGGAAAAAAACAAAAACCAAGATACTCATGTAATGGTACAAGATTCCAATGATGTATGTAAATGTATTTTACACCTAAAATGTACCAATAAACTTAATGGGGGAGAAAAAGAGCAGGGCTTTGGGGATTTGGGAAAGGACTTGGACATTTGAGACCCAGAAAATGTACAAAGGAGACAGAGGACTTGTCTCACTTTGGATAGAGATGTAAAGTAGGCAAGAGGAGGTGGTGTGCACACAAGCTGTCAGTGCCTCCAAGCCTTTCCCAGAACAAACAGAACCAGACAGAACTTTATTCCCCAAGGATTTCTGCTAGGAGGCAGGATCATGTAATGAGAAAGAAACTGGCTGGAAATTGTAACCCAAATTCTAGTCCTGGCTTTGACCCTGACCCATTGAGTGACCTTGGGCAAGCTCCTCCACCTCCCAGGGATGCTCTCTTCCACAGTTTGTAGTGTGGCTTATTTTAGGGGTCATGCATGCCACCTGTTTGCTCCCATTTTCACACAGGAGAGCCCTGGGACATTTTATTAAGCCAAGGTTGCTGGCTTTCAACCAGAGGTGATCTTCCTGTTCAGACACTGTGAGCAGGTGGGATCAGCCCAAACCCCTCTCCTGCTAATGTCCTCTTTTTCCTCAGTCCTGCTGTCTCCATGTAAGGGCACAGTATGGATGATTGCCCTTAAAATTGTTTTCTAAAAGGCTCACATGGCAGATGGAGTGAAGGCAGGATGGCAGGTGGCACCTCTTGCAGTTCCCACTGAGAGTGACAAAACCCTGCTGGTGCAGGAGCAGAGCTCTGGACCCTCGGCTGAGGCCTTGCTTCAGATTCTGTTCACAGCATTCTCCCAGTTCGGCTTCTGCACTCAGACTAGGTCTTCCCAAATCCCACAGTGGCCCATCCTGGGCTGTTTCTATGCCATCCAAATGTACTCAGTGAGCAGTGCTCAAAGAGCTCAAAAGGCCTATGACAGGAAGCTGCTTTTCCAGACCCCTCTAGTAAAATTTTGTCTTGGGACCAAACACAGGCAGTGACATGGGGCCTTTGCCCTGAACTACCTATGATGGAAAGAGCTGCCAAATTACTAATTTTGTCAGAGAAGATCATCCAGATAAACACCACTGAATCAAGAATATAGTCTTTGTTTTCATGGCATTGATATATTAGGTGAATGCAGCCTATATAATAATCAGCCACTTTCACTTGAGCCTCAGAAGGGGCAGCTATCAAATGGTCAATGTTACCACCCTGCTCAAAGGAAGCCTGAGAAAGGGCAGAGAGACCCTGACCAGAAATACTCTCCTGATTCAAAGCCCTGAAGACCAAGACCCTGAGAAATCCCAGCTGAGTAGTTCAAGGCCCGGGCTTGCTCATAAGAAGTGGGTCTGATTGGTCTCAGCCTTCCCACCTGGGCAACCCTTCCTCTGAAAGTCTCACTTCTGGGGTCACCTGCTGGCATTTCCATCAGTGTCAGCACTCAGTAACAACCTTTAAGAACCAAACTAAATATCCAGAAATTCTGAGCAGCCAGAGGTGCAGTCCTGTCCATCCCACCCTACCCCATGGTCTGGACCCACCCAGTCTGAGCCCCACATCCTGCCTCAGGATGGGGAGGCTGCCCTGTAAGAGGTCACTGGCAGCTCTCCTGAGGAAGAGGAGGTGGACCTGGTCACTAGGGGGGAAAGTTCCCCCATGTGGTGCGAGGCCATCTGGGCCTGATGTAATACAGGTTTCCCTAGCAAAGATGTCATAAATAAAGGGCGGGGCAGCACATTCTTGGTTGCCAAGGCTCAAAGGCAAGTGACTGCCAGAAGGGTTCTACCCTACAGGGCAGAGCACCTGCACTCCACTAGCCTGGATAGCTATATCTCACTCATTTTGGTCCCCCTCCTGTCATGGTCCTGTGGTGCCCCTGGGTTCCTGCACTCCTCACCTGGCAGCAGCTGTGGTTCCAGGTCCTGGCAGCCCTGATTCCAGAAAGGCACTGGATCCTGCTGACCACCAAGCCACAGGTGTCCACTGAGGCCTGGTCTTTGCCTAATCTCCTGCCAGAATTGCCTGATAGCCTTACTCTGCAGCTACAGCTGGAGGGCTTTGATGACCTAGCATCTTCTGCTCCCTCCCAGGAGTTGTCCCCACTTCTAGAATCCTCTGGACAAATTGGACTTTCTCAGGTCCAGCTGGAGGCCCAACTTGAAATTCAAAGCCTGCAAAGGTCCAGTCCTCTTTACCTCAGCAAGAAGTCAAAGATCAACTCTCACAGCCCCCCCGAGGAAGCTGAACCTTCTATAACCCAGCAGGATGCCCACACTCAGTATGAACTTGGTACTGAGGAGAATATAGGTCAGCTGTCGATGCATCAGGAGGCAAATGCATCATCTGGAAGTAGGAGTGAAGCTCATCATTCAAATATGGCATTCATCACAGTGAGACCTGTGGACAGGAAGGTTGCCAAATCTACAGAGGCAGGGAAAAAGCCACAACCTACTTCAAGCCAACTGTAGACCCTGACCCAACCCCCAGAGAGTCCTGAGGAGGAGGACCCTTCCTAAACCCAACAAGAAGTCCTGGCTCAGACTCCAGACTCTGTGAAGAAATGGAAATTTCCTCAACTCACCAAGAGGCCCCAGCTCACCCTCTAAGCTCTCTTGTGGAGGCTGAACTTTCTGCCACTAAGACAAAGCCAGCTCAACCTTCTGAGTCTTCTAGGACAGAAGAACCTTCTGAAATCCAGTTGAAAGCCCCAGATCAGCCCTCAGATTTGGAAAATGAAGAGCTGGAAACTTCTCCAACCCAGCTGAAGCAACCAGCTCAGTTTTCAGAGCATGGTAAAGAAAGAGTGTCAACTCTACATCACCACAAAGCTAAGCATCCACACTTGCCCCATGTGACTGATAAACCTCTGAATCTGCAGCTTATAACCCCAGAACCCACCACAGTGGAGAGAATCTTCCCAGTGCTCCCTACAGCTGCAGCTCAACCCTCAACTCCAATGAATGATGTGGAACCTTCTACAAGTCAGCAAGAGGCTCCAAGTCTGTTTTCTGAGCCCTCTGAAGGAGCTGATCACTCACAATTTCAGCAAGAGTCTCCAGCTAAATCTTCAGAATTTGCTCAGTAGGAGACCCAAGTTGGCAATCTACACACTTTTGAGGAGGGTGAACCATCTTTGACCACTCAAGAGGCTGCAGCTCAGCCTCCAAAGCTCCCTAATGAACTCATACCTCAGCCTCTAGAAGTACAGGAGAAAACAGTCTCTCCTCTAGGTGATGAGCAAGTTCAGCCTCCAACACTGACCCATGGTGCTGTTACTCCTGCAGAGTTGTTATCAAGTGAGGTTGAAATTGAAAGTTCAACTTCATAGGAGGCCCCAGCTCAGTCCTCAGTGTCCTTGAGCAGTTTGAACCTCTTGGAGACAATCAAGAGCTTAGAACTCCACAGGTAAACCCTCCCATAAAGGATGAACTCTCTCCATTTGATAGTGAGGTTTCAACTCCACCCACAGAGCTTGCTGGGGAACATTCCCCAGACCAGACCCAGGGCTTAGCTATGTCCCCAGGCTCCTCTGATGTAGCAGTTTCACCAGTGCAGCAAGAGCTCACAGCTCAGTCTTCAGAACTCCCTGGAAAGGTTACTCTTTCTCTTTTGTTGACAGAAAGAGTAACATTTTCAGCCCAGCCTTCAGAGCCACCTGAGGACATAGAACCATTTTCAGTCCCCCAGGAGGAGGATGCAGCTCCACTTTCTGAGGACCCAATGATATGGAACCTTCTCAAGCTCAGCAGAGACCCCACCTCAGCCTGCAGAGGAGGAAGAACCATCTCCCGCACAGCCACCAGCCACATCTCCTCTTCCAGATCCTCCTGAGGTAGAACTTTCTCCAGCCCAGCCCATGATGCTCCCTCAGCTTCCAAGTGAGCCACCCAATGAGAGTGAAGCTCACCCTCCACCCCATTCTGAGACAACAGCTCCAACTCCAGCTCAGGGTCAAGCTCAGCAGCCAAGCGTCGCATTTCGTCCTTTGGACCTGGAAGCCACCATCATTCCAGAACGTACTACAGATGGTGAATTTTCTACAGCCCTGAAGAAGGCTACAGCTCTTCCTCCAAAGCACCACGAAGTGACACTTCCACCTCCGGACTGGGTTCAGACTCAGCATTCAAAACTCAGTCTGCTCACAGTTCGACCTTTGCACCAGGAAGCTTATCAGCACTCCAGGAATTAGTGCAAAAGTTAGATCTTTTCCAACTATGCCCAAGACCCCATCTTAGCCTCCAGAACCACCTAAGATGGTTCAAATTCCAGCATTTCATGAGGTGAAAGTTGTAACTCCAGGTCTGGAGCCAGCTCAGCATCCAACATCACCCACAGTCACAGACCAACCTTTGAACCCGGAGCTCACAACTGCAGTACTCACCATAGAGACTCAAGTTCCTGTACCTCTGCAGGAAGCTGCATCTCCTCCTCCAGAGCAGCCTGAGGTGGTGCTTACACACCCAGAGCAGGTGCAGGCTCAGCATCCAAACCTGGCTGAAGTCACTGTTCAGCCATTGGATGTGGAATTTGTGATCACTGAGTAGTTTGTCACTCTCCAGGAAAGGCTTCCATGGTGCAAGAGAAGCAGAATGCCAGGACAAACCCCAACATATGTGAGTTCTGTACCTGCCAGAATGAGACCTTGTCATGTACTGGTCTCAGCCCAAAACACAAGCTCCACCAAGTGCCTGTATTAGAGCCCAACAACACATTTACCACCTTCAATTTCCAAGAAAATGCTATTTCTCACCTTGGTGAGAATATCCAGACAACATACAGGTGGGCTGAGAAACTAAATCTCAGAGAAAATGACCTGACTGGATTACATAAAAATTCCTTTAAAGGCCTGCTGTCCCTCTGGTATTTAGATTTATCCTGCAATAAAGTACAGTTTATTGAAGCACATACATTTGAAGCACTACCCTTTTTGCAGGTTTTAAATCTATGCTGTAACTTAGTTACACAGATTAACTTTGGGATGTTTAGGGCATGGCATGGAATGCAGTTTTTGCACAAAGTCATCCTCAATCACAATCCTCTGTCAAGTATTGAAGATTCCTATCTTTTTAAATTGCCAGCATTAGGATATCTAGACTTGGGGACAACACACACACCACTTCCAGCAGTCAAGAATATCCTCATGCTGACACTTGAATTGAAAACACTGATCATACTGAGGCACCTGGCCTACTGCCTCTGCCAATTTAAAAGTGATATTCAGGTTGTCTGCAAGACAGTCAAGCTGCACTGTGACAGTGAGTGTCTGACCAATCCCATGCAGTGTCTTGAGGAAGCCCCTGTAGGGAACACAGAAGGAGCCTTCAAGAAGGTGTTACAGGCCTGGAAAAAGAACCCCAAGACTGAAATGGTGATCGAGTCTGGAAAGTCATCTTCCAAACAAAGTGATGTCAGCTGGTCAGACTTCATGGATGAGAAGCTTAATTCTAATGATGAAAATGATGTGGTTGGAGCTCTCAATTACATACTGCCATATTTCTCAGAGGTAAACCTAGAAGATGTAGACTCATTATTGCCATTCATTCAACTACTTTTCTCAAATATACAAAATGAAGCTAATCCCCAGGGTTACATGAAAGGCAATATGAAAACTCCCTCTCATCAACCTGTGTCCAGCAATTTGGCCTACAGAAATGAACTAAAGAAGCTGTATTTTCTACAGAGTTGGTTAGATACAGAAATTCAGGGAAAAATTGAGGAGGTTAAGAAGAAAGAGAAAACAGGCATGCTTATGCAGTCCAGCCTTTCAAGTCCCAAATTTCAAATCATTCCAGATGTTCCTGAGAAATTGGCAAGTGCTCAAGCACAGGAAAACAGGCTGGTGGAAGATCAGCATGAAAGGAGAAGGCTGCAGACAGTGGACAGGATCCTTAAGGGCCCCAAGGGTATATGGAAAAGACTGCTCAAAGAGAGGCATAAACAGAAGGTCAGGGAGAGAAGCAGGGCACTCAGCCACTGGCCAAGAACACCACAGATGGATGGAGCCTCAGGAGCCCCAGCGCAGGGAAGCTGGGGCAGAATGAGGGGGTGTGGGGCCCAGGAACCCACTCCATACAGAACAGAAGGTGCCTGTGTCTTCTGCCCTGCAGGATCCCCCTGCTGGGCAGGTCAGTCACCTCTGCCTTGGCCAAAGCCCCACATGGGGTGAGGAATGGAGCAAAAGACCTCAGCAACAGCATTTTGCTTTTAGAACATGTCAGAGCTAGACTTAAAAGCATGAAAGCTATTAAACCAATCTTAGGTTCCAAAAAAGGTCATGGCTTTCATAAAACTGCCTCTCTTGAGGCCCACAGAATGCTCAAGCCCAACCCCAGGGAGGAGCTCATGAAAGAAAAAGCACGTGGGAGGCTGAAGATTGCAGAGGAGCCTCTGTTCTCAGCACTGAGGAGCCCCATCCATTCCCCCTCTCAAGGGTTCCTCTTGTCCTCTGGAGACCCACGTGTTCAGAAGCATCCTTTCCCCACATTATATGATCCTGACAAAACCTCTATAGGAAGCACTGCTGTAGAAAACCAAACTGCAAAAAACACCTCTGAAAAAAATGTTGTTACCACAAACTCTCCCATTTCTGCCACAGATTCTGCCCTCATCCTGATATCCACTGATGACCACACCAATAAGATGCACTGGGAGTACACCAGCACTGGCACTGAGCCGCCCCCTCCAGGAACCTCTGTCCCCTTGCTGTCATCCCCTGGAGATGAGTTCGAAACCCAGCTAAACCAGCAGCTTCACATCCTCATTCCCAACAAGGAGGTGAGGAGGCTCATTTCCTACATTATTCGCACTCTGAAAATGGACTGCTCTGAGCCCTGCATGCAGCTAGCCTGTGCCAAGCTCATCTCCAGAACAGGGCTCCTAATGAAGCTGCTCAGTGGGCAGCAGGAAGAGAAGGTGGGCCAGGCCCAATGGGACACAGAGCAGTGGAAGAGCGAGACCTACATCAACAAGAGCACGGGGGCCTCTAGCAATCAGAAGGCCCAGGGCAAGCCAAGGGACCACACACAGGAAGTTCCAGGACATGGCTACAACAACATCATCCTGGAAATATCAGTGTCAGCAATCACAATCGCAATGCTTCTGATCATTATCTTCTGTCTCATTGAGATTTGTTCGCACAGAACAGCTTCAGGGAAAGATAAGGAAGGGTCATCAAGTAGCATTTTCAGGTGGAGAAGGAAGTACTCAGCCGAACAGGACAGTCAGGAGGGCTTCTCCTGGTTTTGGTGGCTGCTGTGCCTCAGGGACATGAGCAGGCCTCTCAGCATCACAAGGCAGCAAAGCATGGTGCAGAAGCTACACAACAAGGACTCTTCTGACAAGGACCAGATGGTCACGAACGACCTAGGGGAGGCCAGTGAAACCCCCTCAGAGGCAGAGGAATCCACAAAGGCAGGAGAGTGACCCCTTCCCACTTTAGGTGATTGGGAAGTTTGATTTTGGCATTGCTGACAAAATAATTACTTTTCTCAAATTACAATGTATAAAAAAATTTCAAAATAAAATCAAAGGCACACATACAAAAAAAAGAAAATTTTGTTCTAAAAATGTGTATTTATAGTATGAGCTATACATATTTAGCCAATATGTATTTATTTAGCATCAAAAATATGCTGGAACTTATAAAGAGAAAAATGTGTAAGACCTTTAGGTGATTAATATTAAACTTCAACTTATATATTTTTTCTATTATTTTTTCTCTATTTTACAGAAATTACTGGAGAACAGTCCAGCATTTCATAGAGTACTTTGTGCTTTAGTTATGAATAAAAATTTGTTCTAAGATATAATGGAAGAATAGAAGTCAAAGAAAAAATGTAATTTCAGCTTCAAGTACTCTCTGTTTAACAAAAGGTGGAAATTTGAATTTGAATTCACATTTAATTCACCTTTGAGGGCAGACAAGTTCTTTGGGTGGGTGGAGGGGAAGGAGGCTCTATGAGACTTTTAAATTATGCATGGGTAAAGGGAAGACTGCTCAAGTGAAGAAATTTGGGCAACCTGAGTCTGGAAATCTGAAAAAAAAAAAAAGACGAAAAGGAAAAGAGAGCCAACCATAGCATTTGGGGAAAAGAAAATTGCTTTTGAGAGAAAAGGGTATGAACTCCAGGGAAAGGAAAACAATGAAGGGGATAATCATTAGTTACTTTGCTTGAGTCACTTTAGCCAGAGCGTGGCAGGGGTCTTTGCCAAGACAGGAAGTGGTTTGGGGTGATGTTGAGCTTCCTGGAGGTCCAGCTAGCTGCATACATATGGCTCAGAGTTGCGACAAGCTCTGCCACTAGAAGAGCCCAGAAATTTCTGGACAGTGTTCTTAATACAAAATCCAGTGTTATCAGAAATTGTGCTGAAGGCAGCCTTCCAAGCAACCTTGTAGCCAATAGGCATGGAGAGTTGGGACCTGAAGCTGGAGAAGTAAGACAGAGTTAAAATGGTATCTGTACTAAGTTTTGTGACTAACACAAATATTTCTTAGTCAAAGGGTAATAAAGCCCTGGCACATAAGTTTATAGTTCCTTCAGTTTTATCCACATTTTGTTCACTACAATGAACATGTGTTTCTTTTAGAATCAGGAAAACATTATACAAACAACCCTCTATTCTACAGTGCTTTCTTGCCTGGAACTTATTTCTCATTTGAGAGCAAAACTTTTTGAGGAACTTCTTCCCTGTCCTCTCCTGAGATGCCTCTTTCCACTGAAATGTTCTCAGGAAGGTCACCAATCCCTCCCTAAATGTCAACTCAATGAATAGGCACTTCACTGCCATTTTGTTCTTCTTCTTAGTCACAATGAATGCTGCCTGACACTCCAGTCTTCCTGCACTTTTTCTCCCCGGATGTCTTTGACTCTACTGTCTACCATCTCTCCTCCTACCACTCTGTCTCTTCCTTTCTCATCTTTAGGAGCTCTCATTTTTTGAAAATTACCTCATAGAAGTTGGTGTCTTCAAGAACTCTGCATGGGGTCATCTTTCCTTTTCTTACATTCTGTTCAACCATTTTATCCACTCCCATTTCACCTCATGACTTTATTTAGTGCTAAGTCTGCAGGACCTAGGCAGTTCCTCAGACATGACAGCAGCTAATACACAGAGGCTCACCTACATGTTTGACATTCAGAGCAGATCATTTTTAAACACCACTCTCTTCTGCACAACAAAACTGTTTTCTGTAATCATCATGAAATAATTGGTAGTCACCATCATTTTCTTGCTTTGCTTCTCCATATTAATTTAATATACAATAAAGGATAAATTTCCATTTCAAAAGATTGTTTAATTCAGTAAAATATTTCATATATGAACTAAAATTCAGACTTCCCATTTTCACACTCAGTTCTACTATTTTAAATTGAAACACAAACAAGGAATTCTAAGTTGTCAAACAGACTAGAAGAAAAGGCATAATTCAGGTTCCTTTTCTCCATCTTCACAATGCACTGTGCTAACATTTCTAATCTTCTGTTTAAGTACAAATATATGCAGTAACCCAGGATGTGGAGGCAGGAACTGCTGTGCAAGTGACTTCAAAATACTTTAACCCATTGAAAATGCACTTTTTAAATGAAGGCATGTGGTTAAGTTTACTAATATCAGAGTCAACACACAATAAGATTTCTCTGAATTGATACAAAATTCAATGCTCATGAGGACAAAGAACAAAAATGTACTGTGCTCACCACCTCCCTTGCAAGCACAAGGTCGTAAGTTTGATCCCCAGTACCAAAAACTCAAAGCAAAACAAAAATATACAGTGCTAAGGCTTTTAGATATATTGTTAAAAGTCAGTAGCAACTGTGACCATTGTTTACAATTAGATTAAAAACTTTTTTCAAGGGGAGTTGATTTTATCCCTACTATTGTGACACTTAATGAACACAAAAATAATTCTTACTTAGTTTTATTCCATGATTAAAAACTTTTTTCACGGGGGGTTGATTTTATCCCTACTATTGTGATGCTTAATGAACACAAAAAGAATTCTTACTTAGTTTTATTCAATCATAATCCTCACTGCTCCACCCTCTCTTCTCCACTGTTGGTCTGGTGTTGACAATGAATGTTATTTGAATGGATGAATACCTTTGTTGAATGACTCTAAGGCTACCTCTGCAGCCAGACTTCTCTTCAGAATTCTAGATTTCTACTCATCTGGATATTTTCACTCAACTTTACCATGGGAATCTCAAAATGCAGTGTGGCTGCAAAAACCAGCTCTTCTTTCTGTCCCGCTCTGGTAGATGGCCCCAAATTCCACTGAGTGGCTCAAACCAGACATTTGAGATTACTGTCTCTCCCTCCCAGCAAGGCACAGAATTTGTTTCCTCATCCTCATAAACATTTCTAGAACCTGTTCTCTAGCTCCCCATCCTCACTAACATGAGCTGATTCAGAACCTGATCACTCTGTGTGTGATTTAGTCTGGTTGACTTTGGCTTTTCTTCTCTCTCTAATCTTCATGACCTTTCCCACACTTCCACATCCTTAAAAAAGGATACTAATCTCATGGCAAAAGATTACCACTGGATTAAAGAGCATGTATGGAGTGCCTGGTATAACATCCATCCATAGAATACAAATAATATGTTTTCCTTCTTAAAATATTGTTTGACACTCTATTGCCTCCCAAACTAAATATTGTGAGACAAAGTAATTGTATTTTGAGACTTATCTAATGAACCATGATTTTATATGCATAAAGCCAAATTATGAAGATAATTTTAATTATATAAATGAGACCTAATTCAAACTATTCCCAAATTCATTTTTATTAGTAGCAACAAACACTAGTTGATCCATTACTTTGCACACACAAAAGAATAATAGGCCCTGAATCTATTAACATTGATATATAGAGACACAACAAAACATCTATGCTCTTGATTTTATAATTTCATACACACAAATAACCCATGGTGTTATAGGATAATACATAGTAAGTGCTAAATAGATGCCACAGACCTCAATGGGGGCGGGGGGAGAAAGTACAAAACAGGGATGGGTTATACATGGAGGAGAAAAACCCAGATATGTCTTGGGTAGGAAAAAGAGAGATGAGTATATTACTCATACCAAAAATAAAGATAGACAAAAAAAGGTGCAAAAAAAGGAATGCTAATAAGATAGATGACTCAACTGAACGAGGACATAGAATTCATGAAAACAGGTAGCAATAGTGACATTTAGAAACCCATGAGTGGATGACAATAAATGCCAACATAAAAGTTTTCCCTTGAAAGAAATGAAACTTCAGTACAGAAGCCATGGTAGCCAACCTGGTTACCCAACATGTGGCCACTGCCCTCAGTAATCCACCTTCCCCTTAACTATGATTGTGATCATCTCAAAACCTAAATTTGACTATATCATGTCCTTCTTTAAACTCCTTTTGATACTTCTCCAAAGAAGATACACAAATAGCCAGTAAGCCCATGAGAAGATGTCCAACATCACTAATCTCAGGAGAAATGCAAATCAAAGCTGCATGAGATATCACCTCATACCTGTTAGGACAGCTACTATCAAAAGAAAACAGCATTGAGAAGGGTATGAAGAAAGGAAATCCTTACACACTGTTATTAAGAATGTAAAATCGGCTCCCCCCAGAGGCCTGCCACTCAAAGGGTGAGTGCCTACAGATCCTGGGGAGCAGCTGTGTGGCTGAGACCAGAACAGCTGCAGGAAGATCCCAGCCAGAGGTTCACCCCGACACCAGAGGCACAGGCACACCTCCCCAGGCCAGGAGCCTGCCCAGAGTGGAGCTGCATGGGCAACCTGGCTCCCATCAGAGGCCCACCATTCCATCCATGAGTGCATACAGATCTCGGAGAGCAGCTATGTGGCCCGAACCATCATGGCTGTGGGTAGATCCCAGCCTGGCCTCCAACCCTGACCCCAGAGGCTCAAGCACACCCACCCAAATGAAAGGTCACCCAAAAAGGAGTTGCACAGACACAAGGTCTTCAGCCAGAGGCTTCTCATACCATCGGCCACAGCCAGAGACCTCCCTGGAGAAGAGCTATATGGTCACACAAGCAATACCCAGAGGCTCACCCTGATACCATGGATAAGTGCAAGGAGACCCTAGCCAAAGCCTGTTCATACAACAGAAACTGGGGTGCACAGCCCCCAACCAAAGGCCCTCCCAGACAATAGCTACATAGGGGCCCCAGTGAGAGGCACACCTAGATACCAACCAAGTGTACTCAGGCCCCAGCCAGAAGCCCACCCAGACAACAGGTCAGCTCAGGAATCTAGAAGGCCACTCTGAACCCAAGAATTGGTGGACTAGTGAGCAGCAGAGTAAAGACTTGCTGAGAATTCAAGAACACTGGGTGAGCAAAAAGTCACCTCAACAAAGACACAGCAGGCTGCATCTGTTGAAATGAGAAGACATACAAATAAGCCCCAAAACCATATTTCCAGATCATCTAAGGGAACCCCAAGGGCAACAAGATGGAACAATCTGATAACAACCTGGACTCCCTGAACTGGAAACAAAAGGGTACCT